AGAGAATAAAACAAGACTCACTGATACTGCATGTAGGGTCTCTATTTTCACCAAAGACAATCTGAATTGCTCAATACTATAGTTAGACCGAAATGACTAAACCTGGAGGCAGCTGAGGGTTGAGGGAAAGCAAACCAGACTGACTCAAAAGACCTGTAGGCAACTCCTGGCTTCCCATTCGCTAGGTTCTGTGGCTTTAGACAGGTCACCAAATCCTTGCCCCCTAGTCAGAGAACTGGATTTCATGCCTACCTCAACTGTTGCAAGAATAAAATGAAATGTGTATGTGAAAATACTTTTTTCAATGGTTTTTAAATTATTTGTTCTTCTTAATCTTATTACACCAAGCAAAGAAGATGAATAATTTAAGAAAACATTTTCTAAAATACATCAGCCCCTCATTTTAAATCCCACTATGGTCAGTGCTGCAGTCAACTGACCTTTCTGTGTCTCTCATTTTAATGCAATAAATTGCTCTCTAATGACAAATGTAAAAAAACCAACATTGCACCATTGATGCCTTTGACTGATTAGGTAATAAGTGGATTAAATAAACCAAACTATGATTTTGATCCTCCTCGTAGTAGGTTTGAAATGGAAGGAAAACTTGTCTCATAGCTCATATTAGAACACACCCACCAATCCCAATGGGTTTAGGGTTGGCATTTCATTTGGGTTAGGTCTCAGTATAAAACTGCAACTGGGAAGTTTACTTGATAAATACATTTGCAATATGACAAAAAAAAATTTTGGAAATAAAGTGAAATAAGATGAATGATGTTCTGCAGAGGACGTGCCAACTCACATAACAACACATTTCTCTGCCAATGGTCATGTGGACTGTGTTCAAATATAGAGACATAGTAGGATAATTCAATATCTGAAGCAATAAACACACATACATGTATCTCTTATTTGTTTCATCTATTCTCGGGGCTCTGTCTCAGGTGCTAGGAATCCACAGTGACCACCAGGCAATCCTCTTGCTCTCAAGGAGCTTGTAGCCCAGTTGGCTGTGTTCTGGGTTCCAGACAAATAGAATTCCCTCTCAACCTGCGTGAGACCAGCAGGGCTCTCCAGAAAGGCATTAAGAAGCTTTTCATCTTCACCTCATTCAATGATTTAGTATTGTCTTTATCTTATAGAGATACTGAAACTAGTTGAAAGAAATTTGCAGTAGGTGGTGAAGTCTTCAAGGCCCGGTGACTCAGTGAAAATAACAAAGACATTTTTTACTATGCTTGTTCAGGGAGGTTTGACCTGGCTTTTGAAAAAAACAATGGGGCCAATCATCAACTTCCTAAAAATGAATCAGAGTAGGGAAATTCTACTCAGTGGGAAGAATTAAATTTTTCACATATCTATAAAATGATTAAACCCCAGACCACTTATAAAATAGATATAAAGTCAACAGGGTGGGAGGGGAAGTAAATAAATTATATTATATCCCTTCAACAGAATATTACACAGCCATTAAAAACACTTTTGAGTTGAATGATATGGGCATATGCTCAAGACATAGTAGTAAGAAAAAGGATAGAAAATCATATTTGCTATATGATGCTAATTTGTATTTCAGACATCATATTTTATTAAATATATTTATTCAGTAAAATTCAATACACCACAGATGTTAACAGTAGTTGCTTTGGGATTGTGGGACCAAAATTAATTTTTTAATACTTACCTGAAGTTTTCAAAATTTCTCTGTTAAATATACATTACTTTTACCCACATTTAAAAAAAAAACAATAAATGTCATTACTCAGCTAGATGCACACAGTATCATGGGATGCACTCTTGACTAATCACTAGCAGATATGTTTTTAATTACAGAGCTTTCCTTCTGGGACTCTGGAGTGATCTAATCCCGTCCCCTGCTCTACAGATGTGCTTCAGATATGCAGCATATGTGAGTAAAGTCACATGCAAGCTCACAACTGCACCAGGCTAGAACTCAACCGTTCCTCACTGCCAGTGCAGGCTTCGCTCACCATGCCACTACCATACAGGAGCGGCTCTGCTGCCTCAGTGGGCATAAAGGGAGATGGGAGGGGTGAAATGTAGAGATTCTCCTTCCAAAGTGAAGAGCTAACCACTGACCCAAAGATGGGACAATCAGATATAACTTATCCATTAAAGTTGAAAAAACAAAGTCACCTCATTCCAGACAGGGTTGAGTTCATTATCAACTTTCTTTGTTTTCTTTTTCTCATCTGCAAAGAAAAAAATAACAGATACCAATCAATTAGAAATCATCAAAGAGCACGCACTGTTCATTTATTCCTTCAAAGAACATTACATGAGGGTCTATTATGTACCCACACTTCCCCATTCATCGGGATGGTGGCTACATGAATCAAAGTCTTCCAAACTGAATGGCATATTTTGGCCTAAAATGTCTTTCTCATTCCCAAGTCTACAAGGAGTTAAGGGATGGGGGATTCGAAATCATGGAAAGACTGTGATGCTCTCCCCTCCCTCGTCAAGGTTACCAGGGGCCTCTGCATCTCCAGCTTGTTGCAGAAAGAAGCCAATGACACTAACCTCTGTGTTGCTGGTGTCTCCATTTACAGAGAAGCATACAGAGAAGGACCCCTCAAAGAGTTAAGAAATATGTCTGGGCTCCCACGTGGGAGTGTTGCCCTGATAGAAACGCAAATTGTCAGCCATGAAGCCCATGCTGCCTCTGAGTGGGATAAGACCCCAACACGGCTTAAAGAGTGAGCTGGATTCCCTCCCCCAGGCCTCAGTACAAGGTTATAAGTAGATGAACACTTTCTAGAACCAACGGAGAATCTGGGGTTTCCTTTATCATGTGCCCACCTTTTCTGAAGACATGAGATCTTTTTTCTCTGTGTCTGGGCCTGGACAGACACCTACCTAGATGAGTAAATGAGTAAATCCAGCTAGTGCTTAAAGTTTCCATGGTGCAAAGTCCAAAGAGCAGGAGCTTCTTTTGGATCCCCAAGTCCCCAAATACTTACCAAAATAAATGCTAATCTTTGAATAGAAAATGTTTTGTAAGCATTATGTCATCTAATCTCCTTAAAAACACTAGGAGGTATATATCACTATTTTCATTCCCCTTTCACAGCTAAGGAAACTGAGACATTAAGTAGTGCATTCAAAGTCACCCAGTGAGCAAGTGGCAGGGCTGGGATTGCAATCGGTGGCCAGCTTTGAACCACTCCTTCCCTTGGGGCCCCTGCTTCCCTCTGCTGTTGTGGCATGTAGGAGGCAGAGGGCTTTGTTCAGCCGAATGTCACCCTGCTGGGGCTCCCAGCACATGGCTGGCTGTGGGACTAACCACCTCATTCTTCCAAAACCTCAGCATAGCAAAGCCATGAGTCATGACCCTCACTCTGCTAAGCGTTAACTTTTCCACTTGAGTGGGAGTCACATAGGCCGACTGGCTTCCCTTTCTAAGCTTCAGCATGACCCTACTCATCGGCTTATGCCCAGACCTACACTACTTGGTTCTGCCTATGGGCTATGTGGCCCCTCACTGGATCTAATTCTAGCGTCACCTATAAGCTTCCTGAAATTTCCCCTCCCACACTTCCCTTGGACCCCACCCACCCCTCCCCTCATCTGACATAAACTCTCCATAAACTCTTCCTCTTTGGTTACAGTATAAGAAAGTGGTCTTGAGAGAAAGAGGAGCCAAGCTAAGGATTTCTAATTTGAATGAAACTGGTCAAAATGGCTACTATGCATAATTGTAGCAGCTCCCTCTAAATAAGCATTTCTAGGGCCAGGCTGTGCATTCTACTGCAGTGTCTCTGACCATTACAACAACACTTCAAGGTAAACATCTTCATCCCCATTTTACAGACAAGAAAAGTGAGAGAAGTTAGTTAATCTGCCTAAGATCACACCACTAATAAAGTAACAGCCAGATTCTGAACCTACGTCTCTCTGGTGCCAACACCTGAGTGTGTGTTTGCTACCACACCACATGCGTCACTAGAAGCTGTCAAAGACGATGGATAAAAAAGATACACGAATATAATATGTGCAATGGGCTTGGCAACTTGGGCAATGTCCACAGGGAAGTCCATGGTCTGGTTTCAGGCTACCTGAAACTAAGATTATTTGCCCTAATGCACAAAATATTACATCTTTGAGTTTTTCTGGGGAGAGAGCGTGTTGTTCTTACCAGATTCTCAAATGAGTTAGTGACCTTGAAAAAGTTAGGAATCCCTGCTTTTGACAAGCATGAAATGGTACCATTGATCTCCCTCCATGTCACCACTACCCTTGCTGCCATAGCTAGGGCTTGGTAGGTGGAGAACTGAGTAATGAAGGAGTGAATCTGGAGCCCAAGACCATGGCAGACTTTCATGAGAGAAGATGGGTCATTCCAAGAAATCCCAGCAAGGAGAAGGCAGCTAATAATTTACAGCAACTGGGCACAGGGGCTTGGGGTAGGATTGAGTTACTAAAGGATGGTATTGAAGTAAAATTCCAGTTTCCAAGTCCCCAAGACTCCAGGCAGGGAGCCAAGGCAGGGACAGGGGCTCCAGGGAGGCTGGAGAAAACCCAGCACTTGTTAACTTGAAGTTACTGACCTAGGAAATAGAGTACAAGGAAGACACGCTTGCAAGACTCTCTTGACACTGAGCTTGGTACTACTGACTCTTCCTGCCCACAGCAGGGACAGGATTGTTCCAGAGTCATCAGTTCGGGAGAGTGAGAAAGTTCACTTGTTCATTCATTCATTCTCAAACATTTATTAAGCACCCACTGTGTGCCAGTAAACTAAAGAGGAAACTAAAGAGTTAAGATAGTTCCATGTCTTCAAAAGTTCCACAAATGTAGTTTATGGGCTATTGAACGGAGGAACCAAACAAATCTTTATGCATGTTTCCACCAAATAGCAAAACGCCCACCATACTCTTGCCTCTTCATTCTCATCCTGGAGTTCCCTCCTATAAGAGGGGGAATATTGGGAATAATGACCAGCCAGCTCAGGTCTATGGACCCCACAGTTCAGCCCATAGAAATGGTCCACCAAGTGGGTTCTTCCATAAACGTTAATCGACTTCTTCATTCTTCCATTCAACAAATATTTTTGAAATACCACTTGCCAGGCATTGAGCTGGACACTCTGGGAGATACCTAAATATCCAAGACATGGTTTCTGCCCTCAGGTGATCTAGCAGCGAGGTAGATGTGGCAATAGGTGACCGATATAGAAAGAAGGACATCAGTTGCCATCAGAGTGGTATAGATGAAAATGCAAACTGAGAGGAAAAGAAGGAGACTTCAGGCGGTGTGCACCAGGCAAGGCCTCACAGAAGAAGCAAAGGTTGATGAGCTGGGGACTGAAGGACAAGGAGGGATTAAAAATGTGGAGCTGGGAAGAAAAGCTCACTTCAGGTAGAGCAATAGGGTGGGTGGGTCACCCATGGAGGGGGAAGAACCGGTCATGTCTGGGGACATCACACAGCCCGTTGGCTGGAACCAACGGGTGTGGGAGGGGGTGTAGGGCAACTGGGCTGTGTGAGAAGGTTATGGTCACACTGTGAAGCCCTTGAATACCAGGCTAAGCTTCATTCAGCTGATATAAGCCACTTAAGGAAGGAGGTAATAGAAACCGGACTTTATAACTTCAAGAAGTTCACAATCCAGTGAGAAAAATCAAGTTGCCCAACAACTCTTCCAGTACATTTTCCTAAACACATGATTCAGTTGTGTGTTGAGAACAAACGGGAGCGGTTGAGTCCAAGCAGATGCCTGTTGAGCACAGGCCAGGTGGAGCTATTCAAATGAACCTTCCCGCAGCTCCTGGCATGGTGTATGTTAATGGCACTCCCCTCTAGGGGGCGCTCGCTGCAGGCCAGGCATTGCTAAATCCTTTACATGCATTTCATTTAATCCTCCTAGCAAGCCTATGAGGTAGACACTGTTATTATCCCAGTTTGCAGATAAGCAAAGAGAGCCCAGAATGGTTACGTAACATGCCCAAGATCACAAAGCTAGGAAGAAGCCCTCTAACCCCGTCTAGACTCCTGACTGACTCCTGAGCCCATGCATTTCTCTACTGTAACTTCCATCTTCCTAGCTAACAAAAGAAAGGAAAAACAAAGTAGCTGGCATTAGCTCTTGGGGCGTTCTGGAGAAACCCAGCTCAAACCCCTCCAAGAAGGAGGCTCTGACTTTTATCAAAATGTGTACATATTACATTTTTTTAAAGCCTATTCTCACACATAAACAACAAAAAGTAGATAAATTCTTATCAGCAGCCACAGAGTCACATATTTATATTATTCCATTATTTGAATCTACTTCTTTTTTTAAAAAAGGTCAAAGTTGCAGGTGCTAAACATCAGATTAAATTACAGGAAACTCCCTCTCCGTTCACATCACCTACCTCCCCTGGCTCCTCCTCTAATTTTATGAGATGACTGTCTCTTCCTATGGAAAGGAATTAAATACTTTCAACCCAGAACATAACATAACTAACTCAAATGCAGAGGCACTCTCTGGACCATGACTCAAGGTATTCTTCAGGACATTTCCTGTTTCCTGATTAGCGACGCCTGCTTCTTGCTCAGTTCTGTGAAGGTCACCACTGCAGTAATTAACCTGAATGCCAGTCTCTGGACAAGGTTTTCCCGAAAACCAAACAGCTCTCTTTGCCAAGCCACCTCACCCTGTTACACAGAACTATTTCCTTTGCTGTTCACCTACCAAACAGTGAGTCGGACCCTTATTGAAAAGGCTGGAAAGACTCCAGGATCCCTAAGATTGGCTTGCTACATCTGTGCCAACTGATCAGCTGTGACGGTTAATTTTAAGTGGCTATGGTGCCCAGTTGTTTGGTCAAACACTAGTCTAGGCATTGCTGTCAAGGTATTTTGTAGACGTGATTAACATTTACAAGCAGTTGACTTCAAGTACAGCAAATTACTTTCCATAATGTGGGAGGCTTCATCCAAACAGTTGAAGGCCTTAAGAGCAACAACTGAGGTTTCCTGGAAAAGAAATCCTGCCTCAAGGCTAACACAGAAACCCTGCCTGAGTTTCCAGGCTATTGGCTTGCCCTACAGATTTCAGATTTGAGAGCCCCCACAATTGTACAAGCCAATTCCTCAAAAGTAAATCTCTCTCTCTTTCTCTCTCTCCACACACACATACACACATACCCTATTGGTTCTGTTTCACTGACTAATCCCACGAATAACACCAGGTGAACAACACCTTCAACAGTAACACATTTTAAATTCTTCCAACTATATCCTATCTCACTGATCCTAATAATCCTGCAGAGAAAAGGACAGGAGTTGGCCCAGCTCTTCTGACTGGACTTCCCAATCAGCAAATTCTCCATTACTTTGAGCTGTTATCTCGGGAAGACATAAGGTTCAAACACCAAGCTCAGAGGCCTTCATGTGTATGCTAGAGAATTTAGACAAGATCATCTCTAAGTTTTCCTTCACGTCCAGTGGCACATGAGCCTTATGAAGTGCCCACAAATCCTGAATGGTTAGATTGCTGTGTCTTACTGAAACGGACCGGGGAGAAATGGGATGCTACTTACAAGCCTCCCTAGGTTACTCAGCTCTTTGTAGGCAAGGTAGATCAACAAAATCTCTAGGTTTGGCCACAAGTCTACACTTGACCTCCCATTCAGAAGTACTTCATCTTCTCTGGGTCCCTGAGTCATGGTCCCTTTCTTCTGAGAAATAAACAGTCACACATAAATTCATTCACTATTTTGCCCAAAAGTTCACAGACCCCCTGAAGCCCATCCATACACAGCTAACATTCATTAAGAGCTCTGAGCTAGTCACTGTTCCCAGTGCTTTCCATGGATCCTCTGATTTAACCTTCACAACAGCCCTAAGAGGTAAGTTCTAGTATGATCATCCCGGTTACAGAGGAGGAAACCAAGACACAGAAAGGTTAAGCAACTTATCAGAGGCCACACAGCTAGTAAGTGGTAGAGCTGAGATTCAAACCCTTGCAGAGAGAGATACAGAGCAGTTTCCAATGTTGCAGGATAAAGACCAGACAGTGATTCCTTGAAGGCTGGGATTATATTTTATTAAATATTTTTATTCCCCCCAATGTGCTTACAACATAGTAATTTCTCCATGATTTGAGTGAATTGGACTTCATAAGTTCACATAAATATTATTACTAGGGTTGCTTTAATGATTAAATGAGAAAATGAATACAAAGTGCTCAGCACAGGGCCTGGCACACAGAAAGCACTAAACAAGCAGGAGTTATTAGATTAGTTCTTAATATGGCACCAGGGCAGCTCATACCCCAGCGGGTTCCCAGGCTTTGAAGCCCCAGAGGGCAGGGTCCACATGTGACCAGAGGAAGTGCCCAGTGAGGCTGGGGCAGCCCTGGTGGAATAACTCTCCCACATGGCTCAAGTCCAGACCTCTGAGGCCTGCCAGGGGCAGCTTGCATGTGGGCATGACTGCTCCT